CGAGTTATGCCCCCCCAATACAACTAGCATGTAATATGACATACCACGACATATACTCCTGGCCTGCTCACCGTGTCCCTCCTCTTTAAAAGCGTCCGCCGTTATAGCTGCAAGCAACCACACACAACACCGCATTTGTGCCAGGATGCAATGATACTGTCTCCTTCACCTTCTGCCATTACTCCTCCCCTACTCTCTCCTCGCACGTGCTGATCCTGTACCTGTCTCCGGTGTGGTGTACGAGAGTGCGCTTCACGTTGTGCTTACACTATAAGCCACCTAACACTACGCTGCACGGCCACACTTCGTGTTATGGCGACGACTAATCTTTCAGCGACACCGGCCATGATCGCTCAGGTATGGAATCCTAACCCCCTCCCCCATAAATCCCAACGATGTATTGCCCTACGACCTTTGACGACCCTCTCTATTCCCCCCCCCCCCAGCTGCTAACAAGAGCCTATACTAAACTAATGCCTCTGATGAGTTGCTATGGGTGCTAGGCGGCGAAAAACACGCTTAAGGGCGTGCACCCCTCCTATGGCTGTCCTCAACAGCCATTGCTAACCATAATCACTAACTTTAATCACTAAAATGCTCACCCATAACCTTAATGACAAACCCTCTTGCATCCTCGCAGATGAGTTGATCGCTAAAACACCCACTATGTTTAAACTGTTGCTAACTTGTCGTGATATGACAGATATGATGTTCTTGTTTTCCGTATATACGGGGTGGCCGTGTTTACACACACTTACTACACACACACAAACACGCGCACACACACACACACACACAAACGTGCGCACACAGACACGCGTGCACACGGACACACACAAACGCCCGCACACAGACACTCTCGCACACACACACACACGCACCCACACACACGCGCGCGCACACACACACACACACACACACACACACACACACACACACACACACATACACACACACACAATCAATCGATCAATCAATCAATCAATCAATCAATCAATCAATCAATCAAATTTATTATTGATTGATTGATTGATTGCGATTGGTTCGTTGATTGATTGATTGATTGATTGATTGTGTGTGTGTGTGGGGGGGGGGGGGGGGGGGCAGTGTTTTGCCACCGGCCCAACAAACCAAAAATATGAAGAAAAAAAAATTCATCACCGGTTTTATTTTTTTTTATTTCCATTTTCGCTCTTTATTTTTTTTCCCTTCCAGTAGATGTACAAAAAATTATTAAAAATCCTAGGCGTATAGAGCTTTTTTTAATCTACACACCCTTTTTTTTTTTTTTTTGCCTATTTTTTATCCCGAAAAAATTATCGCAGTTTCATGCCCACACTCAGCCGCGGGTGGTTGGCCGCCGCAAGTGGGATCCTAACCGAGGGCGGTAAAATGGCCCGCGGTCGCGACCGCGGGTGATACATAGGTTGCCAAGGCCGGAATCGGATTTGATGAACCAGCGGAACGCTACGTGTGTCGTGTTGCCTAACCAATCGCCAGCGTCGCTCGTGATAGGCCTCCGAGTCGGAAGAAGCGAGCCTAAGGCGCAGGCTGTGTGCTCGCTGTTCGGCCTCAGTCCGGGTTCATCGAACGAACCCCGCGGCTTGGTACTTGCTGTCTTGCTGGCACTCGGAGCACGGGTTTGAGGCTAGTAGGGACCGAGTGCGTGCCACGGGGCCGCTGTCAGGCAGTGAAGGCAACACGAGGCGGTAGGGAGCGAAGTTTGTCTGAATGATGACGACACCGGGTTCGGCGATGGCATGGCTTACGTGTGAGTTGGGGAACTGGGAGGGAAAAGGGATCGCGCTTAGTGCCCGTTCGATATCCCACGCATAGACACGTTCGTTTCCAATCCGAAAGGGAAACTTTGTAGGGTTGGGACGAGGTTGTGCGAGAAGACAGATGTTTTTCCACTCCCAGTATTCTCGGAACCGTCGGTGTCTCAGGCTCTCTCGATCCATGACGTGGAAGGGAGTCCCATTATCGATGCTACCTGAATTTTGCGAGTTTAGACATGGACTCGAGCGTGGGTCCTGTAGACGTGCGTACAGGCAATGTTCGTTTTGATCGAGCCTACACGTACGAGGCCACGTTTGCGACCAGTTGGATCGGATCGGCCGACTATCCTTTTGGGCAGGAGATCGTCTGACCCGTCGTCATGCTAGCCCGTGCGTGCGTTCAGAAACATAAATTAGAAAGACAATCCGTTGGCAATCACCCATTTGAATCTACTTACCCACCAAAGCATACACCAGCCAGGTCCGCCGAGTGTTCGTTAGATTCTTCTCTCTTATCCAAAAAGGGAACAGGAAACTTACATGCATACTTAGGCATTGATCGAACTCATACATCAATTCGAACTTGAGGGCCGTGTGGATTTCCGGAAAAGCATAGCAAGAGATCGACCAGGGGTTGCACATCAAGCCATGTCACCGAGGAAGCCTTACATCATCATAACCCAAGCTCCCCTTGGTTACATGCAGACAGTCGTCGTGCCCGATCTCATCATACCGCAATGAAACAAGGGTGAAGGGAAAAATCAAACCATTCACAAGAAGGATACAGACCAGGGGTAGTCCTGAACAGAAAGAGGACCGACGCTACTCATCAAAGCTACATAGGTGGAAGAAAGAAAAGAAGGATACCATTCCACACATATCATACGCTAAAAATAAAAAATGATTCGCAAGAAGATTGAAACGGCCCAAGCAAAATCGACCAAGGTTGAAATCAAAATTTATACAGAGGGTTAGAGAAAGGCATCATCCCACACACACATCTTTCTCCCTCTCTCTCTCTCTCTCTCTCTCTCTTTCTCTCTCTCTCTCTCTCTATATATATATATATATATATATATATATATATGCAACCACACTTTATATATGCTACATCACCTCCGATGCGGGCAGTTCGTCACCTCGCACCAACACCAAGTCATCACCCCGCTTAGTCCGAGTACGCAAGCGCAGTTCGTCCGTGCATCACAGTCCGTCGTGGCCTGCACGTCAACCCCTCCTACCCGACACCAGCTCGTCAGGTTGCCCGACTCACTTCGGCTCATCTTCTCGCTTACTTGTCAACCAATTCTCACTGACCGCACTTACTTTCAAATTCTGAGAGAGCAAACTAATCTTGCTTGCGAAATTTATAGCGTGCATGCTTGCGCGATGAACTCGAGATTATGCCTAAGTGAGGGGAAGGGGAAGAGAAGGAAGTGCCTACGCCTGCATGGCCAAGCCGCGGCGTGGGGGATGCAACCACACTCCACGCATCGATCCGGTCATGCAGTCGCTCAGGCCAATTAGAGTGGAGCACGAGGTATGCCCGACAAAGGGGAAGAAGGCGGGGAAACATGAGAGAATCAAGAAGAGGGAGTACAATTACAATCGCGCCCGCCAAAAATTACAGTTACATGTAGGATTAAGGGCGCGATACACTTAGAGCCCAGTTCCCTCTGCGGTGAGAGGTGCGTGAGCAAGAAGTGCGGTGCAACAAAATTCCAGGGCACCTAAATTCCGAGTCTAAATCCTATTTGTAAAAAGAAATTCCGAAGAGCTTAAAAGAAACAATTTCAAGAACCCGTCATCCGTTGTAAATTTGAAAACAACATTCTCGCTCGCTAATCGCACAAAAATTCCTATCTCCCACAGCAGAACAAGAAAGAAGTTATGGCAACTGTTATTTATCACGCTCACTAAGGCGCGGTCTTTCAATCGCCGTCGAGGGACTTTCCCAGCTCAGGTCCCGAAAGCAAAGAAAGAAAAAAGCGAGGATGTCCATACAACTTGCCCTTCCAACCCTCCATTTTTCACCCGACCAACCAGTTTCCAACCCCCGAACTCACTTTGCGCAGAAATTCGTGCGACTGCAGAAAATAGTTCGTCACATATGCTATGAAACACCCGCGGACGCGTCCGCGGGGTCAAGCTTGGAGGGGACGTGATCATGGCCGCCGCGGCTCCGGCCGCGGTTGGGTGCGGCCGCGACTTTCAKGAATTTTTTGTGACCTTAAAAATTTATCAACAAAAAACAAAAAATATGGGTTTGTAGATTTTTTTGAGATCTAAATTGCGCAATTTTTTATTTTATTTTTTGACTTTGTCTTCGAGTTTTAAAAATTCAAAAACGAATTTTCCTGAGGCAAAAGCTGTTTGTTTGTTTTTTTTCCAAAAAAAAAACATGAAATGTATGTGATTTTTTATTTTAAATTCAGTAACGTTTTTGCATATGACCACAAGGCAAAAGTTGTTCATTATATTTTTCTGCATAACATTTTTTTTTTTCAGAATTTTTAGAATTCTTTGGTTTTTTTTTTCATGGCCGCGGACCGCAGACACGTCCGCGGGGTCGTGGCCTAGGCCGCGGCCGCGGACTTGTCCGCGGATGGCCGCCGTCGAGGGGGATTCGTAGCACATATGTGATGCCCAAGGGGTTCCATTCGTGAGCAAGCTCATGCTTGCTCTCTCATCAGGTGTCGTCTCGTGATCCGAGGATCGAGGGGGAGTTCGCACTACGTGTCACTTACCGTTACGGTAGCTCTGAGTGTGGAAGTCATCCAACGTGGCATTCATGCGCTCCATTCTAAACGTTACCCGGAAGAGGCAATCTGATTACGGGTGGTGGATGTGGTGGATGGACTTGGGGAAGGGGAGGCATGAAGCGACGGATCTCTCGATCGTCAGTGTGCGGTTGGGTGTAATGAATCATGCGGTGAATGCGGGGAAAACGCGGGTGTCGACGTTGGTGGGAGAGTGAGGCGAGGTAATCATGATAGAGCATACAGAGGGTGCGGCGGATAGCAGCACGGAAGTCGCCATACTCCTCGCACACTGGGATCGTGGCCGCGATGATACAATATAACTCTATCTTATTGAATTCCTGCCAATCTACGCTAAAAAGAAGGATGTGGAGGGGGAAAGAGGTAGCGAGCGAGCGAGTGGTAACGTGTGGGAAGATTGTGATCAGGAGGCGAGTGGAGTAGAGATGGTGGAAGAGGGAAGGCGGGAAGGGGTGCCATCCGTCAGGGCATGGGGGTCGGCCTACGAGCCTGCTGAAGAGTGAGGAAGTCGTGCGGACGACGGGATAACGATCGGGGACGAAGCCCGAGCGCCCCCATCTCGACTTAGGCGAAGGTTGGGCTGAGGAGGGGATTGGGCCAGGGATTCACTTCTTCGGCGACACCGGCTTCCTGATCCCTCTGTCGTGGCGCCTCCATTTCCTTCGGCCTGTTCTTGTGGCAGTATCGGATTGAGCGTCGGATCACCCTGTAGCAATTGCGGCGATGGCCCTCCTGATTCCTCGATCGACCGCTTGCCTTCTGCTGCTGCCTGTTTCCTCTGTGCCACGACCTCTCTCTCTTCCTTGCTTAGTTCGTCGAGACCGCTCGACTCACCCGATCCAGCCTCTTCTTCCTCAGTCTCCTCCCGTTCCGAGCTGGCTTCTTCGGACTTAGCGTCCTCTGATTCTTGATAATCGGGATCGTCTGACTCAGCCTCCGATTCTTCCTCTTCTGGCGTTTCCTCTCCTTCCGTGTACCGGAGATGGTCGTTCTCCTCGATCTCTTCCTCGACTGCTCCCTCTTCCTCCTCTCCGACTTCCTCGCTGGTCTCTCCTACGTCCACTCGCCTGATGAGAGGATCCCAGAAGGAGAGATCAGTGACGTTGATGACCTGGTAACCGCCCTCAGGGGGATAGTAGCAATGATCCACGTCGAGCTCCGTGCACGTAGACCACAGGGGACGGGGGGCCGAGGTACGGGCGAGTGTGGCAGTCCCGGGCCTTTCGTCGCAGCGCGAGAGGATGTCCAAAGGTAGGTCGTCCAACAGTTGGGTCAAAAACACCAGCACTTCGTCTGTGATCAAATCTAGGTGGCCATTACGTACTTCCCCGAACAAGATCCCTAGAAGCTCACCGTCCGTGTCTGTCCTCCAGGCCTGGAGAATCAATAACTTCGGCTCGTCGTACGGGATCTCGTCCTCCTCGCTCCTATCTGCAAGTTCCGCCAAATGGAAAACGACTTCGAGGAGGCAGAAGTTGAGCGCTACGTAGGCGTGCCACCACTGTGCCCACTTGGCTGCATCCAGAATCGGCACGTCTAATTGCCTAATTTTGAACGATAAAACGGGGTCCACAGCAAACTGCCAAAACGTAGGAATGTCAAAGGGAAGGCTGAAGGTAGAGAGGCCGTGACGGTTCATTGAGGCCAGGCGAAAGAATGGAGCTCCGGGAGGATGACCTCTGACGTGGTGGAGGAAACCCGAAGCTGAAGATCGATGTCGTTGGCTGATACGACACGATCGTGAGGCCGAGCCAGTAATCGCACCCACTAAGGCGTGATGCGCCCTGCCCAGTCTCGCAGTTGTCGGAGGATCGAGGTGTGCCTTGCTGGATGTAGTGTCGTGATGTCGAATGTAAAGACGACAATGACTAATACGTGGCTCTCGTCAGGTGGGGAAAGTCGTAAGAAGGTCGACACCTCAGCCAATACTCGTGCCGCCCCCAATTGCACGAATCGGAACTCCTCCGCCAAGTAAATAGCCGCTGTATTGAAGAAGGCCTCGAATCGGAGAAGATCTGGACTCAATCGAGGACGTTGTACTTGTCGGATTGCAGAGATGGCTCCCCTGGGTACCATTAGCCGCTCGCTGATGACCTGTTCGGTAGAAAAATTCATGACGATGGCGAGGGAGATGAGGGCTAAGAAAATAAAGGATCCAGGTAGTTAAGATGATCGCCTTCTTCCTCGCTGTCGAGGGACGACGTGGAGGATGAAGGAGGAGGGAAAGATGGGAGAGGGCGAAGGTAGGACACTTGTCGGATGATCGGACAAGCCGATCGACTTCCTGACACCTCCGGTGCGAGCCGTACAGTGTTCACTCCGCTAGGACCAAGCTCGACCACGCAAAATCGCCCGAAGAACCGTAGCACTCGCTTACCCTGGCGAACACATTTCCTCATTTGCATTGTGTCCCCTAATTTATACAGGGGCCGTGGTCCAGCGTTTCATTTCCGGGCCTCAGAGCTCTGGACCTGTCGTCCGTGGGCCATTTTTGTCATTCTATATCGTTTTCGGGCTAGCCGGGGGATGGTATTTTCCATTAATTCCAGGTGGCATTGAGCCTTCTCTTTGACCATTGCTGTAGTGGTCCGTCGTAGAAGGGCCGTTTCATCATTTAGGGTTCGTAGGGGTACGTAGGGCACAGTATTGGTCCGTAATTGGAAGGGGGACAGACTGGTGGACTCATGGGGTGTCCCTCGAYGATAGCTAGGATATGGTCGACGWTATCAGGCCAAGGCCTTGTATCYTGGGCCGCRATATTACGCCGTAACGCTGTTTTGATCCCCCGATTGGCGTTTTCTACTAGTCCGTTCGATTGCGGCATATGGGGAGCGGTATTGCGAATTGACCACCGTGCAGGACCAGACTCCTTAATACTTCCCCTCGAAATTCTGCCCCATTGTCCGTTAGGATTTTCTCGGTGTCTTGATGCATCCCGAGAAAACGGTTGACATACCGCGCGATTTTTGCCGCTTGTCGCGTCTTACACAGAAAGAGCCTATCTCTAACATGCTGCCCGCGGGACCGTCAGCTGGGCAGGAAAGAGCCGACTCGTCTCCACGAGGAGAAGGTGAAGGCAGACTTCGGGAGTCCGACTTCGAGCTAGCCAGGATCTGCAGTTAATTAGAAAGGAGAATCGGCAGAAAAGTAGGAGAAGTGATGGAGAATACGTAACTGGTCGTATTCCTACGGAAGAGTCGTGTTCATCTACCCGCTCGAAGTTTGATGACCAGGTGAGTCGTTTGGTGGAGGCAGATCGCTATCAAGGAAGCAAGGACGATAGTGAAAAGTGTAGTGATTCTGGAGGTAGGAGTTGTTGTCAGACAAGCTGGTACAGCGGATTGTGAAAGTTGTGTAGGCAGCTTCCAGTGGGCATTAGGCAGTGGGCTACACAACCGACACTTGCACGTATGATTGATTGAAGCCACTAACCGCATTGCTGCTCGTGATCAGGCATTGTTATTATGCTTCAGAATGACCAGGGTTGTGCTTTTCGGCAACAACATGTGTTTCGAAGTCGTGGCCGGTACATACCAGACCATGCACCGCGCTATGCAATTAAGTTGAGTAAGCAGAGCGTTTACATTGCCGGCTTTGACGGAGTCAGCCCACCGATTGCGGGAGCTCTGCCGAAACTCKGGAGAAAAAAACGAGGCAGGGAACTGAGAGGTAACCCTCCACCTCCTTCTATAAACCCAATTATAACCCCTATCTGTACTTCTTGCTATGCTTTGACTGAATATATTGCCTGCATCCTTATTTTGATTTTTGTTTGACTTTAAGGACACAAACCAGACTAAATAAAGAAAGGTATGTGCAATGCCAGTTTCAGTTTTATTGTTTRACTGAAAGCAAATTGTGGGATTGCAGTTGGGGGAAGGATGGGAGGAAAGCAATATTGCTTGTGTGTGACTGGTCCATTAAAGGCTGGATAAGTCCCCATAATTTTGGGGAGGCTCTGTGCTATATTTATTTTTCAGTTGTTTGGAGAACCAGACATGTGTTCATAAGTTTGGATGGTCTTGTTGCTCTGACTTGCGAGGGTTGTCTATGGATAATTTTTTGGTGACCAAGCAATGTCCCATAAGTTTGGGTGACTTGGTTGCCTAACTTATTTTTTGCTTTCTCAATTTTTTTTTGGTTTTGAACGAGGAGTCGGAGCATGTTCCATAAGTTTGGGTGGCTCAACCTCTTTCTGGTTCACCATTAAGGGAATACATCTGACAGAGAACCAGACATGTTCCGTAAGTTTGGGTGGTCTTGGTACAATGCCACGCACATGCTGGAACCAAAAGGTTATAACTTGACCATATTTTATTACTACTTTACCTATGAACAGGCTAGTTAGATATTATCCCATAAGTTTGGGTGCTCTAACTCTATGTGTCCGAAATTCGATTCAACGGCCGTTGAAACCCCCGATACAACGTCGTGCTATATCGCGTTAAAATGTGGTACAACGAGGCCAGCGAAAGTTTTTTTTACAGGCAAAAATTAATTAAAAAAAGCAACAAAAAATCTGGCGGTGTAGATTTTTTTGCGCTCTACATCCCCATATTTGTGTTTCAATTAATTGAGCATTTAAATTGTTTTTTTTTAATCGAAAACGTAACAAGACTCAAAACATATCGATTTTTTTGTTTTTCTTTTTTTTTTGATTGATTGATTGGTSGGGGATGGGTCGCCCCCCCACCCCCACTCAATCTCACACAACACATACACGTACACATACACATACACACACACACACACACACACACACACACACACTTACACACACACACTTACTTGCGCCWGGTTTGAAAGCGGATTTTTCCGTTTTTTTTTACACTTTTTTTTTTTATTATTGATCGATTGATTGAGTGTGTCCGGGCCTCAGGATGGTGGAAAAGAGGCAGACCAGCATCCAACAGAAATATAAATCAAGATGCAGCACCCAACCATTCATTCATTCTCTGCGTGAGCCATGCGGAAGCGCAGCTACAGCGYCTTGCGCGATGTGGTTTGCGGAGTGCCCGAAGTCRAAGTGGGCYGGAAGATGATCGTATAGCTATAGTAGTGGTAGTGAGCGACMATAGCCGTTGTAGGTTAGAGTTAGTTGTTAGTGTGTATGTATGTGTGATTCAGGGTGAGCGTGTGGGGGGTATTCAGGGTGATCCAGAGTTGATGTGCGCGTGAATAGTGGTGTTGGACACAGTGACGAGAGTTGGAATGTTCGGCGCTCATGCGCCATAGCCAGCTGAAGTGAGTTTGCATCTGGACTTTGTTGGTGGTTTCCATATCTCTGAGTTTTTGAGTGGGCGTATTGCGCATGTGCGATTCGCCATTTGTTGCATGTTTGTGAAGTGGAAAACAAAGCAAGTCTGATTGCAGATTGATTGATTGGTGGGTGATGGGTTGCCCCCTCCACCCCCACCCAATC